GTGCTAAAGTGATTGTTTTTACGAACAGATTTTGTTCCGCCTTACTTTTGTAACGTTCAGTTCATTGGATGTTTTGACTTGTTTTCCAGGAAAAAAATTGTCAGCTTTAAGCCTAATGGATTTAACTGTGATGTCTGTCACCCTAGCCCTGTGCTCAAGGACCACACTTGTTTCACTGTAGCATTCCTATAAATAAGTTACATTTCAGTAATATTGCTTTTAAAAGGCAGCTCACTTGTCCATTCACAGATTTTAGTTTGTTAAAAGTAAGCCACTGGTGGCGCAGTGGTTAAGGCTCACCTGCTAACTAAAAGGTCAGCAGTTCCAATTCACCAGCTGCTCCTTGGAAACCCTATAGAGGGCAGTTCTACTCTGTCCTGTAGGGTCACTATGAGTCAGAATCGACTTGATGGCAATGGGTATTTTAAAAGTACTTTTTAAATGAATCGGGGGAGGGGGGAAGACCCAAGGAATAGGGTAGGGAAAGGGCAGTGAAAAGCAAGTCAGATTAAGATTTAAGGATGGAGATACTCTTAATTGTATTTTGTGTATTTGTTTTGAGTAAAGCATTTGCTGGAAAAGATGTGACCTGGTTATAATAAACACAAAGTATATACGATCTTGGATTCTTTTTTAATTTTTTTTCCCCTAAACCCTCCCCCTACACACACACCCCTAACATAGGATTAAATTTACAGATTGAATCTTAAAAGCTCAGCAATAAAAATCACATACAAGGGGGTGTGGGAGATTTAAAATATTCTAGGGTTTTCATTCACTGGAAGCTCTTTCTCATCAGTTTAAAAGCCCATGGGATGTGGTCAGCAGGGAATGTTGGATGCTGGGGCCGGAGAATGGTGGTGATGGTATTTAGTTACCAGTTTTATCAGGTCTTTGAAGCAAGCAGCTTCTACCATAGGGGTAGTATACTTCGATAGCTTGTCACAGTTGGGGCAGAGGTAGGTCCTAAGCAGAGAGGATAAAAGCTACTAAATTTCTAGTGGCCATAAGGGTTACATGGGTTGGCCACAGCATGCTAAGCGCTGCACACCCACCCAAGACAGCATGAGGCTTCAGGGCTGTTTCATGGGCAGGAAAAAATAACCCTGACCAAATCTGCAGACACTTGGATAAAATGCTGTAAATGCTGTCAGCCCCAGTATAAAGGATTTTTTAACACATGCTTACGATATCCTTGCTAAATATCCTCTGAAATAGTGGTCCCGAAATCTGATAGTTGTTTATGTTCTTGAGCTTTTTAGAAAGACTTTTAAGCTCCACCCTCAAACTGATTCAGATCTAGGAGGTGCCATGGGATCTGTCTACAAAGCTCCAGATGTTTTTTCCCCCGATGAATCTATTAAATTAGGGAAACAATGCTTCAGAGAATGTCTAGAAAAGTATTAAGTTTTAAAAGGTAAATTTGCAAATAACGGAATAATCTCGGCATATTTTATAGACAAACTATTCTACAGAAGTGACTCAAAGTAAAACCAAACCCATTGCCATTGAGTGGATTCCATCTCAGCGACCCTGTAAGACAGAGTAGAACTTTGCCCAGTAGGGTTTCCAAGGAGCAGCCTGAGCTCTTAACCATTTTGCCACTGGGGCTCCTCATTTAAAATGGTACCTTCTATAAAACCAAAATGGTGGATAGACCAGGGAGGCTGGTAAACATGCAAACAGTGCACACCAAAATGTCAGTGGAACCAACGTTGAGAAACCCTGGTCTAGTCAATTTATCTCATAATATTAGAGCTGGCAGGGGGCTGTGTCCCAGGCTCTTACTACATCCCTTATTTTAAATTCTCACCTCTCTGACAGATTATCTCTGAAACAGGCAAGTTCTGGGAGTATAAGCAAAAGACTAGTAAAGTAAAACCGATGAAAGCCGGAACCGATGTAAGGTGGAAATATTTTCCACTAAAATGATAGAAAAGTGGTAAGACTGCACACTCTAGAAGGCAGAAGACTTTCAAGACGGATAAACAAGACAGTCATGTCTAGTTTTGGCTCTCACAGGTTTCGCTCTAATAAAAGTTCTGGCAGAGCTGTGATGCAAATTGAAGTCAGTTTGACTCCTAAAGGCCTTGTTTCCACTATACCAAACTGCAGCATTTACAGATGAAAAACCAAGCCTCATAGAGGTGGTGGTTGTGTGCTGTCAAGTAGATTTGGACTCAGAGTGACCCTATATGACAGTAGAACTGCCCCAAAGGGTTTCTAGGCTGTAATCTCCACAGGGGCAGGTTGCCAGATCTTTTCTCCTGCAGAGCAGCTGGTGGGTTCAAACCACCGACCTTTTGGTTAGCAGCCGAGCGTGCTTAACCAGGGCTCCTTACTCAGTACTTACTTAGTACTCTAGAGAGTACTAAGATTAAGTCAGTATATAAATACACATTTGTAGTATTCGTAGGTATTTTAAGACCACGATTTTCCCCTTAGAATTCTCAGCCTCCTGGAACATTTCGGTTGGATTTTAGACACTGATAACTTAAAAGCAAGTGTGGAATACTTCAGTGAAGAACAAGTCTTTAGCACGTGCTTTTTAGAAAGCACTCTGAACCATAAAATTATGAGAAATTGAAATAAGTGTTCCAGTACGTAAGTCCCTTTGAAGTAGTTCTATTTATGATGTTTATGCATTTAACATTTTTCTAATATTCCCCTAAGTGGCCTGCAAAGTTTTTAAAACCATAGAATTTACTTTTGCCATTAATAGATTTAAGCCCTTAAATTAGGATATCTGTCCTGTAGGCTTTTTTTTTAATTATGATTTTTAAACCTAGGTTTAGAAAAGCAGTTTTATCAGCTCACCTTGATAGTACAAAGCTCTGGGAAGCAGGTTCATGTTAACCAAATCCAGATTTCAAAGCCAGAATGCCAATTTAATAATTTATAGGAAATAGATCAGCTCAAACTAGAGCCACCTCATTTTCCACTGTCAAATCTATCTGCATCATGCCCATATTCTGTCTTTCCTCTTGTTGAAAAGGATGGACTGGCTGTTCTATCTAAAATTAATCCCACCACCTGTGCACTGGATGCTGCCTGCCCCCCTTGCCTGCTCAAGGACTTTGCTTTTACAGTTACCCCTTTTGTGTGCATGTTTTTCTTCTGTTATTACCACCTTCAGCGTACTATCAAAAATCCTCTTGACCCCACCTGCCCTACAACTACCACAACTACAACTGCTCCCTTTCACAGCAAAACTACTTAAATTACCTATGTGTGCTTCTCCACTTACACACCTCCTGTTCTCCCTTTAACTCACTTCAATGAGGCATTTATTTCCTGCACTCCACTGAAACCATTCCATCAAGGTGTCTAAAAGACACCCATTTTGCAGAACTCATTTTACTCTACATCTCAGCACATTTGACACAGATCACTTATTTTTTGAAATACTTTCTTTACTTGGCTTCCAACACAACAAGGCCTCCTGATTTCCTTTTATCCCCCTGGCCATTTCTGGCTCCTCTGTTGCTGTCTCTGCAGCTCTATCTAAATGTTGACATGCTACCCTGGTTCTTCCCCCCCATGGGATCTACAGTCTTCCTAGGTGTTTCAAGTCTTTCAATTAAATTTCATTTCTAAGATGACTGAAATTTATATATCAAATCCTGATCTGCCCCAGGCTTCCGTCTCATATATTCATCTGCCTCTTGACACTACTACTAATATGGATAACAAGCATTTCAAACGTAGTAGTTCCAAATTAGAATTACTTTTCACCTCCAAATTTGCCTCTTGATGGCCTCAACCAATTTTCAAGCCAAAAACCTAGGAGTCGTCCTTGGTTTCTTTTCCTTCATCAAACCCATGTCTGGAAGAGTCTACCCTCAAAATACATCCTGAACCAAACCACTTCTTGTCAACTCCACTGCTAGACTCTTTCTACTACTACTACCAAGCCACCATCTGCCAGTCTCTTTAAATGATGTTGATTTTAATATTTAAAAATGCCTCTGATGATTATATCATTCTTTTTAAACCCCCTATGGTCTCCTGTTATACTCTGTAATATAGGTACTACTTACCATGCTGTGAAGGCCCTACACCTGCCTTCCTTTCACTTCATTTTGTCTCTCATTTTTTTCCCTTGTTCTCTAGGAACATTGGCCTCACCATTCCTCTAATGCCTATGGAGTTATTGCCTCAGGGTCTTAACTAGGGCTTTGAATCTGGTAGGTATGTACTGAATTTCATATTTTTAAATTTCTTGAAGAGCACAGAATGAGGGCAGAAGGACAACTGTTTCCAAGGGCAAGTTTTACAGGGTATGCTAGCTTGATAACTTCCCCATTTTAACTTAGGTTTGCTGATTTCTAAGAATCAAATAATCATTTTCCCTGAATGGTATTGGGAAGAATCATTGACAAATTGTTTATTTAAAAAAAACCGCAGGCTTCCTTTTCTGACATTACCTTGGACTGTTAATTCAGTCACAGTTTATTTACATTAATTTTATTATCTCTGGTTAACTTCGATAGGTACTGTTATTTCATCAGCAACTTAATTTGTCTTTTTTTTAATCTTGTCCCACAAATCTGTCAGTGCCCAGTTTTAGGGCTTGTACAGCTGTTATGTTACTATAATATTTTGTTACTAATGGATGAAATAAGTAATGATTTTTTTCCCACTGGATTATATATATATATATATAATTGGATTATATATTTTTGATTCTCAGTCGATTAAATCACACTCAGAACCCTTAAATGAACCTGGTTTAGGTTTAGTGTCCCGCAGAGGAAAATGTGAGAGCCAGACACTGGCTAGATGCAGGGCTTTATGTAACAGACCCGGGAATTCGGGTTTTATCCTGAAAGCAAGGGACTGCTACTACTGGATTTTAAGCAGGGGGGTGAAATCCAGTTTACAGGTTGCAAAGAACACGCTGACAGCTGTGGATGGTGGACCGAGGAGAGCGCACTAAGTCAGGGATACCGGTGAATCATATGTAATATTGCATACTCGAAGAGAAAACAGGGTTAATGGAAAAATCTCAATCCTTTCATCTGACACTCCTGCTCTGGGTATCTTCAAGTTTTCATTCCCCAGTATTGAGTCCCTTTAAAGTTGAGAAGAATACGACATTATAGACAAGGCACCTGTCCTCACGGAGCTTTTTACTCCTTTTACCTTTACTATTAACTTTTACGGAGCCCTGGTGGCACAGTAGTTAAGAGCTGCGGCTGCTAACCAATAGGTTGGCCGTTCGAATCCACCAGCCACTCCCTGGAAACCCTATGGGGTAGTTCTACCCTTGTTCTGTAGGGTTGCTATGAGTCGGAATCCACTCCACGGCAACGGGTTTGTTTTTTGGGGGTTTTATGAACCTTTACTAGTAAGTTACAGTGCAGTGCCCTTCTCAGCAAAATTTTCTTGCCAAAGGATGACCTGCAATACGTCTGCATGTAGTACTGGTCTCTCCTCAAAATCTGGTCAATTTGGTCATGGGAATTTAGATAAAGGGGGGGGGGGACAATTTCAAACCCAAGGATGGTACCAGAGAAGCAAATGACACGTGCTCTTAGGTCGCGAGAGGCTGCTTCCTTGCAAGTCGCCTAGCTCGTCCCTGCTCTTCACCCGCCAACGGCCCCCGCGCCCAAGGCGAGGTGCTGGGGCCCTGGGCTCCCCTCGCCCCGCCGCCCCCGGACACCCGCCGCCCGTCAGGTTACCTTCCCCTTCCCGGGCTCGCCAGGTTCCCGCTCGGCGGCCATGGGGACGAGTCGCGCCGCGGGTCCCGTGCGGCTACCACCAAGGACCGCCCAGAGCGGAAATCCCCGCCTGACCATTCGAGCTGTTCCTGTCCCCCATCTCAGCGCACTGCTTGTACAATCGGCAGGGGCGGTGCCCGCCTCGCCTCCGCCCCGCCCCTGCGCGGCGTCCGCCATTTTAGGGAACGTTTCTAATTCTCCGCAGTGACTGCGCCAGTGAGCAGTGGCGTCTGCTGTGCTGCCGCCATATCCTTTGTTCAGCCGAACACTTTCTCCATCAGGGGCTCTTCCCAGCCCTGCTCCCGGCCAGCAGGGCCAGGAGCGTAGGAGGAGGGCTCATGAAACAACCCCGACACCCAGGTCCTCAGCGGGGAAGGAACAGAGCCCTGAGGCACATCTAGATTGCTCTTCTTCCCGCCCCAGCCCACTCCTTCCGTCCCAACCGCCATTTCTAACCGTCGTCCACGCGGTCTCGCGCCCGCGTGCACCACGTCCGGCGCGCGCAGAGGGGCGGGGCCGCGGCGAAGGGAGCGGGCGCGGCACCGTTGCTTTGTCCTGCGGGGCAGGTTCCGCAGCCGGGGTCGGCGTTGGCGTACACCATCTCAGCTCGTCCGCCCGGCCGGAAGTCGTCCCGCACCTCCTCAGCGGCCCTTGTCCCCTGCGTGTCCTTTGTCCTTCCGGCCCGAGGACGAGCTCTAGGTGCCACCGGCAGCTCCACCCAGAAGAGTCCCCCATTTAGTCTCAAGCCCCTGCCTCCAACGAATTGTGGTCCCACGCCCACACCACCTCCTCCTTTTTTCAGTTTATTTGGTGGCTTTAGAATAGCACCGCTCGTTTCGCCTGAAGGAGACTAAGGACAAAATGGAGGGAGCCACTCATTAATGAACACGCGTCAGGACGTTTGTGTCCACTGTATAGGGCTAGATGGGGAACTGGGGGTGGAGAGAAGGACTTTGGCGTTTACATAGGAAAATGCCTACGACGTGCATTTTTAATGTTAGGTAGTGTACCACGTTAAAAAGTAAGTATTTAAATAGTCACGACTGCGATATAACTTGAAGCATAAACATTGAAATGTGGCGAGGTCAGCCGAGAGTGCGTGCATGCTGGTCTGGTATAAAATAGGGTGGAGCCAGTTTTCCAGCAGTCAAAATAGCTACAATGCAACAACTCCTTTGTCAGGATTTAAATTTTTCTATCCAACCAAAGGTAAATGTCCCGATCGTTACTTTATACCTCCTTCATTTGTGTCCCTTATATTTCACGTTTAGACGTTATATATTTCAAAGTGTACTTCTGGGGAAATGTTTAATTGTAGAGCGTGTCATTGTGCAAAGTTATGCTGCTTCTAATCATGCGCAGTAATGTCAGCGACGACGAGTTAATATTAACGACCATTACGTCGAGCGTTTTCTTACTCTCTGGAATGGTCTTACTTTCATGTTCATTTAGCCCTTCCTACAATCCGAACAAAATACACAATTTTTGACTTAATTATGTGTGAGTTGTTGTTTTAATGAATATCTTTTGGGGGAATCGGACAGTTACAAACAAATTACATACTGATCTAATATTTTTTAGGGAAAAGGAAAAAAGTAACCCCACTGGTGATATCCTGCCAGTTTTGAGTTCTCAGCTGAAATTCTTATGTTTTGAACGCTTGGGCTGGAAGGTAAATTTTAGGTGGTAATAGTCAATAAAAGAATGAAAAATGCTTTTGATGTAATTCTTAATTATATTTTAAAGGCGGGAAAACTGGAAAAGTACCAGGTAGAACATTATTAAGCCATACTATGTTATTTTTTTAATGTGACTTTGAAAAATTGCCCGAGTGGGCTTAGTTTGGGGTCCATTTCATTTGTCTTTGAGAAGTATTTTTATAAGTTATTCCTTTACATTTAAATTTCTTTTTAATTTCACAAAAAATTGCATGATACTCGTAATTGATTTTTTTGTTTAACAGTTTGTAGAGTAAAAATAACAATCTCTGCCTCTCCTTTTTTCTCCTGTAAGGTAAACACAGCAGTTTCATAGGTCTCTTTCCAAACTGTTTTCTTTTTCCACCTTCTTTTAATTAATTAAAAAGTATTACACGAACACATTTGTTGTAATCATTAAAACAACACTGGGCTATATAGAGTAAATAGTAAAAGTCTCTCTATTCCACACCTGCCCCCATACATATGTGTATATATGATACACAGATATCCTAATGGCATTGCACTATCTAATTTGCATTGAGTACTTTTGACCGTTTAACATTATATCTTGGACTTTTTTTTCATGTAAGTACCTATAGATTTATTCATTTCAATGACTGCTTTGTAAACTTTTAAGGATTTTCCTTCTGACTGACATACAGAAGATTTCAGTTTTTGCACTAATCCAAGAAAATGCTTCAGTGAGCATCTTTATGCATATATCTTGTAAACATGTTCACTTATTTCTATAGAATAGATTTTTGGAAGTGGAATAACTGATTCAAAGGAGTACATACATTTAAACATTTAATACGTACTGCTAAATTGTGCTCCAAAAATACTACCAATTTACATTCTTCACCAACAGTCCATGAGAGTGCATGTTTCCTTGTTTCCCTTTTTAACACTGCAGATTCTCATGTTTTAAAAGTTTGCTGACCTGATGGGTGAAAATGGTATCATATTGTTTTAAATTTTCCTGATAATAGTATGATTGAGCATTCTTTCAAATGTTCATTAACCATTCTTTTTCTAAGAATTAACATTGTATAGCTTTTGTGCATTTAAAAATTTGGTTGTGTATACGTAAAATGGGAGCACTGGTGGTGCAGTGGTTAAGAGCTCAGCTGTGGGCAGTTCAAATCCACCAGTGGCTCCTTGGAAATCCTATGGGGCAGTTCTACTCAGTACTGTAGGGTCGCTATGAGTTGGAATCGACTCAACAGCAACAGGCTTATGTGTAAAATAATTTTCTTACTAGTTTATAGCAGGTCTTTGTAATTATACATATGCAACAAATATTTTCTAGTTCATCACCTGTTTGTTAACTTATAAACAAAGTCTTTCATTTTTCAAACACTTTAACATTTTTTTTTATGGCATCAAATCTGTCAATGTTTTCTTTTATGGCTTTTTCTCTTGTGTCTTAAGAAAGCTTCCTTGACACCCATAATAAAAAGTACTCTTTTATAACTTGAAAATAATCTTCAATAATATAATAGTATGTTCCCTTTCTCATTAATAGAACTTTTGATTACTGGTCTCTTACAAGACAAGTTTTTGGTTTTACTGCTTAAATATGTTTTTTCTACTTTCTTTTTCTTTTAAACTGCTTTTATATTTACTTGATATTTGTTTTGTCTGTCTTTAAGATTTTTTTAAACATCTTTTTTTAGCTCTTTCTTCTGGTCACTTACCCTCATATTTCTAAATCAAAAAAAATTTTTCCTGCTCATTCCCCTCGGTACAGTTGCATTACATTTTTAAAGTTAAACCAGTGTCAGTGTGCATTGCTGTGACAATGTAAATATTGTTTATAGCTGAGCCAAGCAGAGTGCTGTGATCACATTTCTTTTATAACTTTTTCCTGGAGTTAATAATTTTCTTATTTGTTTATTTGCTTGACTGTCTATGTCGGTGCGTTGCAGCCAGCTCTGACTGGTTCTTGAGAGCTGATCGTGGGCATCTCCTGTCGACTCTGTGTTCGGTGATTTCACATTGGTAGCTTGAAATTGGCTAGAGTGGAAGTATTTATGCTCCAGAATTCTTTTTTCTTCAGAGAGGTGGTTTATCAACACACCACGGTATGTTGTTGTTGTTGTTAGTTGCTGTCCAGTCAGCTCTGACTCACGGTGACCTTATGTATCACAGAATGAAATATCGTCTGCTCCTGCATCATCCTCACGATTGCCAGCGTGTTTGAATCCATCACTGCAGCTGTTGTGCCGGTCCATCTGGCTGAAGTTCTACCTTGCCCTTGCTGGCCCTCTGCTTCACCAAACATGATGTCCTCCTCTAGAGACTGGTCCCTCCTAATGAATGTTCAGAGCAAGTGAGTCAGACAGTGTTGTTGTGATCCATAAGGTTTTCATTGGCTAATTTTTGGAAGTTGATCCCAGGCCTTTCCTCGTAGTCTGTCTTAGTCTGCAAGCTCCACTGAAGCCTGTCCACCATGAGTGACCCTGCTGGTATTTGAAATTCTTGTGGCATAGCTTCCAGCGTCATAGCAACACACAAGCCACCACAGTATGACAAACTGACAACAGGTGGTGGACCACTCTGTGTACCTATCATTACTTCATATCTCAGAACTCTCCTACAGAGTGATAGAACTCTTCTCAATCTGGTGAAACACGTCCTGTAGTCAACATGTCTGTTTTTCCCTTGGAGGTATTTTTCCTGGAACTCTTTTCCTTTGCTGCAGTCTATAATGGTTGCTTTCTAAGACTGATTCCCAGCCATTTCCCTGGGAATTCCTGTAACCTCATTCCTGTGCTGAATTCCACATGTTTCCTTAATTCCACATCTTCCTCTTTCTTGGCTTACTTTCTTATGTTGGAGGAGTGTATCCTCCAGTGGTTTCCTGGAAAAGGGGCGTAGATGATAAATATTTTGAGATCTTGCATGTCCATAAATATTTTTTCTCCTTTCAACTTTGATTAATACTTGGTTAAAATTGCATTTCTAGAATTGGTCTCCCACTAGAATAATTCCTCAGAGAAATAAAGCTATCTCCTACGTAACCATAATGCCATTATAACACCTAAGAAAATTAACAATAATTCCATAATATAATCTATGATGTAGTCCATATTCAAAGTTCTCCAATTATTCAAAGACATTTCCCCAGTTGTACAAGCTTTTGTTTTTGTCTACAAACAAGGATCCAGCACTGAATTTGGTTGTTATAGCTCCTTAGTTTCTTAGTTTAAGATGATTTGTCTCTCCATCTCATGTTTCTTTTTTTTTTGAATGACAGTTGCTTTGTAAAATGTCTCACATTCTGAGTTGTCTCTTGGTGTCATTTAACTTGTCTATCTACTATCCCTTTTATTTCCTATGAACTGGAAGTCAGGTTTAGGGCTGCACTTTCCAATATGGTAGCTGCTAGTCACATGTGGCTGTCAAACATTTGAAATGTAACTAATGCAATTGAAGAATTGAATTTACTTTTTTCTTTCATTATCTTTTATCCAACATGTAAAGAAAATATGATGACTATTTAGTCATTTTCTTATTCTTTACAATAGAGTCCAAAGTAGTCTGTTCCTGACTTTCAAAAGGCTATGTTCAAAATACAGATTTTTTGAATAAGTTTTTTTTTTATTGTAGTAAAATATATATAAGATAAAATTTTCCATTTTAACTATTGATAAGTTTGAAATTCAGTGATATTAATTATATTCACAATGTTGTGCGACCATT